GCGAATGCTGTTTCCATAGGAGAGCTTTACCTCATGGTGTGTACTGATCATGATCAGTAACGTGCAAACAATGTTTTTTTTAGTTATCAATCGTAGGATTGGTTGGCAGCCCCATTACGGGGCTTTTTCTTGCGAAGGTACCATGGTGGTTTCGCCTTGTCTTCTGTGGCCAGTCCTTATCCATCAGACTGGAAGAGAAAGGACGCGGACAAACATCCATGCCTTGAGTGGGACTCGAACCCACGATCCCAGCGGCCAGGCGCATGAGGACCATGCCTCAGACCGCGTGGCCACTGCAGCCGGCGTGTAAACAAAATGAGAAAGATATTCTGTAATGGAGTAGTCATCTTGAAATTCAATCTTTGTGTAACCTGCTAGCTTGAATTTTATTTATTGCAGATTTATTGTTTTAAGACAACCTATATAGACCTGACACTGCAGAGAGTTGGAATTTTTTTATATATATGTCATTAAGTATTTGGCAAATTAAATGATTTAGAATAATTGTTGTAGACCTTAATGAGGAATATGTTGTATGTCAGTTCTTCATATTGTGAGGTGTTAGTGAGGAAGTCGATAAGTTTTCGATTGAATTGCATTAACCACTGTTGCTGCAGCATTTGACTGTAGTTGAATGTCCGTGTGTTAGAGTACACTGTGAAATTCAACTTTAGTCTACACTAAAGAATAATATTCTCAGTTTACTGCGAGCTGTAAAAGTGCATTCTTGTTGGTCTGTATAGTGCTACCTTGATGCTTTACATATATCCTACATGGCTGCCATGCTGTTGAATGATCTTATCACACACAAGAAAACAATACATCTCCATTACAAAGATCAAATACAAAAATTGTTTTTTCTGAAAGACAGTGTTATTAAATGTTAAAAGTAGGTGGTACATACACTAACCACTAGGCTTTAAAAGCATAATTGAACATAATCTCTTTTTACTTATAATTAATGTACTTTCTGTTATCTTTGCTATGATTTCAGTTTGGTAGTGATTCAAAGCTGCAAATGGAATATTGGTGGGAGAATGTTCCTCCAGAAACAGCTCCAAACATAATGCCACTGCAGGCGCTAGTTGAAGGGGATACTACATTAGAATCGCAGAGTAATTCTGTGGGAGAAACTTTGCAGAAACTGATATCCATTGCCAAGCTCAATTTTTCAAAGGCAAAGGTAAGTGAATTGTTGGTTGAACACAACAGAGTATTTAGTTTTTATCAGTGTTGGTTTTCTGGGCTGTAAGGCCACGCGAACTTGTAGGTAGATATCGGTTATTCAGAGAAATGTACTGTCTCTATCTTCAGTGCATTACAACCCAGAATACAAACATTGGTATCTTCACTGTCACAAGATCCTTCGATCCCATATCCAGTTTTTGTTACCATTCATCTTGGAATGCTTCACAAAAAGGTGGTGTTGTGCCATGTAGTGTTTTGGTTGTATACCAGTATTTCAGAGGTACATACTGCCTCTATCATCAGGGCTGAAATGAGGAGTGTTGGGAAGTTGGTGGTTAAAAAGGGATTGGAGATGGACAGGGAGGAACACAGTGTCTTTGTCTTCAACCATGAAGATGGAGGCAGTAACTTCCTCCAAAATATTGCTGTCTACCTAGAAGTCCATTTGATGTTACAACCCAGAAGACTAACATGACATTTTCATCACTGTGAGTATGTCAAATCTGAATACTAAGACAGTAAGTTGTAATTTGTTGTGTAAAGGCAGATGATAATTCAATTCAATTCATTTATTAGAGTGCTTGGCAACAGCCAAAAGAGGCCAATAACAGCCAAGCACTAAGAATAACAATACAAAAACAAACAAACAATGAACTAAATATGTACAGTATAATTCAATTCAATTATAATAATAATATATAAGATTATGCAGTTTTCTTAAAGTTTTCCTCAGTGCCTCTGGGAAAATTATGGGATAGCTTGTTAAAAACAAGCGGTGATTGCTTTCTTTTTCTAGTTCATAAGTATTTGTTATTTTTCCTTCCAAGGCGTTAAACTTCAGATTCTCTAATTTTCTGTTTTTATTTAGTCTCTCTTGGTTTTCCATTTTGTACTTCTTAAATATTCTAATCTCTGCTGCCTTTAGTCTACTGAATTTATGATCTACATACTAATTTGGATGTGTAATAACTTTTAAGTAAGCATTCTCTTTTTGTAATTAGTAAACTTTTCCTGTAATTCATTCTTTAACATTTCCATTTGTCTCTAATTTACTTCCTTTGCACTCAAAGCTCTCCACCTCTTTCATTTCATGATTATTTTATTTTAACTTTTTTATGGCCATTGTTTTATAGCTTATTTTTATTACTATGAATTTGTCTAAACTGACATTTAATCCAGTATCTTCACATTTAGTTTCTTCATCAAGTTCCCCCCCCCCCCAATTCATTTCCCATGCTTATCCCACAAATTTTTATTACTCCACTCTTTTGTCCTTCCACTACTCTTTTTTTATCACATCCATTTAATAGCATAGGAGGTATATATTAATGTTATTAATATTTCTGTAGGTCATGTGCCCATGTGGTCATGTTTGTGGTGTAACTTCTAAGTCCACTATTCCTATTCGGAGGCCTCCGCTTGTTAGAAGTGTGGTGGATGAAGCTACGGGCGGCAGCCATCCCTCTGCGCAGCAGGTGTATCCTGCTGTGAGCGTGAGTGTTACGACAATGCAGGATGGAGTATTCAGACGTCCATTGCTTGCTCCATCCCATTTCAAACCATTGTCCAAAGTAGGCACTGCTGATGCTTTCAAAGCACAGCTAGATGTAAGTACAGAAGCTTTGTTATTAAGAATTTATGCCAACAGATTATTCTGACCAAACTTTTCAAGTCTTAATCATTTACTGCTCAATTTAATTTCATTGTATTCAGTTGCTATCAGACCCCTTAGATAATTTTAATGTCCATCATGTACTGTCTTTTGGTATGTTAAGCTTAGCAGGATACATTTAATTCTGCTGTGTTCATACACGGCAAAGGTTTAATAAGCAATGTAATTCATGTCAGCACCAAAGGAACAAGGTGGGCTATGGACTGGTGAAGATATTTAGGTTTGATGTACTTGAGATCAGCATATAATGAAGGAATTAGTAAGCACTTATGAAGTGTTAATCAACTTTTACCAGACTACTATATAATGATGGAATTAGTAAGCACTTGTAAAGTGTTAATCAACTTTTACCAGACTACGTGGTTCATTATCCAGAAGACAGTCATCTTCAGTCATGGACCGTGTGTCAGGCTAATAAAACTCTTTTTCTTTTCTTTTTCACAGAAATTTCGGCCACGGTACTGTAATCGCCGAGGGCGTGCAGTTCGTCCAAAAAATGTGGTTGTGCAGCGTATGCTTCCACTTTTGCCTAAAGCACCCAATGGCCATGCAATGGTCACACTGAAGGTTATTCCACAGACAAGCCAGTTGTCAGGAGAATTCATGCCCATTGAAGCAACAGTGGCTACAACCAGTCAACAGTCACACTCCCATCCTGCTCCACTAAGACCACGCCCCATTAAAAATCATCACATCCTCCCAGCTACATCCAACAAAAGTAATACTGGATGTTTACTGGTGCCCTCTAATAACAGTGGTAGGTTGCCATACTTTGGTCAAGGTGTGTAATGAATGATCATGAATGGCTTTGAATTTAGTTTGTTGAAGTCTTTTTCCTGCCATACCTGTATATACTGACCCCATTTTGTGAAAGAAATCAGTTTCTTATTAATTCAAAGGCATTAAACATAGGTAATGTAATCTGAAATATTACATGCATTACATGTATAAAATATGTTCATCAGAGTTAGGGTATGGCACGTATGTGTGCATTGCTTTGTTATTGTGAACAGCAGTTTCAAATAAACAGGGCCAATTGCAAGAAAGAAATGAAAAATTTAAGATTCTTAGTTATACTTCTGTGTTCTCTAACAGGCTAAATGTTTCATAATTATATTAAGTGTATTGAGACCCTTTAAGCATATAGAGAAAGAAAGAAAATATTTGTAGTGTCGGTATGAAATATGGCATTGATGCTCAAAGTCTGTCAATCAGGTGAATATTGACTAATACACAACATAAGTATTTTCCTCCACCATCAGTGTGAAGGAACCAAAAGGTGTTTTTGTTTTAAGTTACGTGGTTTTCAGATGTCACTCCTGTCACACTGCACCAAAGTGTATGTGGCAACAGTGCCAGTGGAGTCGCATTACATCAGGGTGGAACCAGCCATGCTACAACAGAAAGCAGCCTGCACAGTGCTGTGAGTGGGAATGATGACAGGTTAGGCATACACCAGGTCAGAAGAAAGAACAATATTGGAGTGGGACTGCCACAGCATGGACCTAGCATGGATTTACATCACAGTGTGCTAGGAAGCAGCAGTGCTGTTACAGTGGGACTCCATCGTGATAGAAGCAGCATAGATGATAGTAATACCCAGTCACATGTACCACTGGGCTTATCTGTTCTACCTCTGAATACACCAGTGGCTTCTCCTCCAAGCATCTCCAACTTGCTGGAACTGTCCCTTCCTTCGGCTGTTGGCGAGGAGCTTGCTGTAGTTACTGGGTCAGGCAGCACTCGACTGTTGGATGCCTCAGTGCCAGATTCTTCAGCAACAGCTCAACCTAGCTTTGTAGGTGAGTCATCAGCCTCACAGCATCATCATGTACTGACATTTTGCTTTTGGGAGCTTGTTAAAGGTGGGTGTTCTGAATATTACTTCTGGCTTAAATGTGACAACCAAGCCTCTCCATCTGTCTCTGTCTGCTGACAACTCCTCCTTAGTTTGTTCCCGTGATCTTCTGTATCTTTTCTAACCTGTTGTTTCCATGTTGATCTCTGTCTCCCTTTCGGGTGTTTTCCTTTTACTTTCATGTTCAAAACTCTCTTTGGAATTCTCTGTTTGTTTAATTAGAAACTGTGTCCATGCCATCTCATTTTGTTATTTGTTAGTGTGCCTCAAGCATTTAACCTCCTAAAATTACTGTATTGATCCAGTAAACATGTGTGAAGAAGTTTCCCTCCTCATCCTTCCTCCTGCCACATTAAGATCAGTTAAAAGTGGAACACAATGTCTAGAAACATTGTTGTCTGTATTGTTAAGAAACCAATCTAGATTATTTCTATTATGTCTACAGCTGGTTGACAATTAGGTTTCCAGCAATGGAAATTTTGCTTTTGATTATCAAAATGTCAAAATACAGTGAAACCTCTATCCATCGTTCCCGGAACTATCGTTTTCCCGGATGCATCGTCCGTTTTGTTCGGTCCCGAATACATCCCATATAAAATAATGTTACATTTTCCCGCTTCTATCGTTCCTCGAACTATCGTTTTATCGCATCGATCGTTCAAAAATCTTAGTCCCGGCCCACAATTTTCCCGCAATGATCGTTTCTGAGAAATTAAAATGCTGGGTTTTGAGATAAATTAATACCGAAAGACGCACAATGTTTTTGGAATAAACAGTAGCGGTAACCTGTTATGTCGCCCAACCAGCACATTCTTTTGGAATGAGGGTCAGCGGTGCAGGGGTGATAGTTGGAGTGAATGGCGGTGCCCATTGTCAGAAATTTTACGATTTTAATTAGGGTGCACTCATATTTCGTTCCAGCGATGCCAGATGGCATGTGCAGTGTGAATTTCTTCACAAATGCTTTTATTACAAGGACAAAGGAAAGGCGCGCATAATATTAGTGAACGTGACGAAGAAAACATTTTGAACGTGGAAAGGGCTCTGTTTGGCCTAAAACGTAAAGTTTCGACAAACCAGTTGTCCATTAAAGACTTTTTTGGTAAAAAGAAGTAACTTTGAAAGAGAAACATTGTTTTTTTTTAAAAATTTTAATGCTTTCCCGCATCTATCGTTTTCCCGCATTCATCGTTTTTATTTCCCACCCCCGCCGAAAACGATGCATCGAGGTTTCACTGTATTAATGTTCGCAAAGTATACGTACAGTACATTTCTCTGGAAAGTCAGATTGAAGTTATTAAACAGGATTTATTGATTACTAATGTTGCACATAGAAGTAAAAGGTTAGAACATTGTGGAAGGTTGGGAGAAAATCATGTCCCTAAGACATATTGTTGACTCAAGAGAAAATTAATATTGGAAAATAAGTAAGAAGATAAACTCGCCAAAAGCGATGGGGCCAGAATACACCATTTGGTCAGAGCCTTGAATCTGATGATTGAACATGGTTGAGTCTTACAATAAAATGTCTAGAGTACTATTATATTACATAATTGAGGGCTCCAGTGCAAAAATGGCATGGTTCCACGTTAACAGGTTTTAGGAACATAAAGAAATGTTTAAAAATCCAAATTTTCTTAAAACAGTAACAGTGTGATTCCATTTTCACGGTAATAGAATAATGAATGACTTGAGTCATGCTCTTCATCTACCAATATGCTAGATGATGTTTTGTGTGTATGAATCAATAAAAATCCAAATTTAAATGAGAACTGGAGCCACCCGATTTTATGTACTGTACATTGTTATTTGTTATGTAACTGTTTTTATTTACCTGAGATGTTGTGTATCAGGATTGCTACCTAGTGAAGAAGGATTTCAGAACTCAGTGACTCCTCCTAGTAGTCCTTTGCGGATTCTTAAAGAAGCAGACAACCAATGGCTGAACTCAGAGGTAATTTTCTATGTGAGTCTGGTTTCTAAACCAGGTCACAGAATAATTAGTATTAGTATATGGTAAATACGCACCACAATGTGTTAAATTTTAATATGAAAGTGTTGTTGCCCTAAAGACAATAGTTATTTTTCTAAATGCATAAGTTTATAATTGTATATGTTTAATTTGGAGAAAATTTTTATTTCAATAAAATAATGACAATGCACTTGATTCAGAAAAAATTATACCATTATCTTGGTTAAGTATTTGATAAGTAATTGGATACAGCTGTCATTTTATATTATATGTATAGAGGGTGGATGAGAAATACCTGACACATCATTTCATACTATAGAAGGAAAAGTTTAATATGTAATATAATATTTACATATACAAAACAGCAATTTAAGGAGAAAACTTCGAAGGTAGGTTCTTTGAATCTTTTGTATTATTAGGGCCATAGAAATATTTCATTTGGAAGATATAATGTTCAGTTCCAGTTGTTTCCCACATCCATTAAATATATTCTGGTTAAACATGTTTGTCATTTTGCATTGAATGTGTGTAAAAATAAGTTTATTTGCTTTTCAGGTTGCAGACTTTTCTTTAAGTAGTTTCCTGGGGCATTTGGAGTCACCTCTGAAACCAGCAACTAATGTCCAAAACACAGAAGATACAAGGCTATTTTCAGATGTAAGTAAAAGTTAAAATTGTTCCTGTGCTTAATAAAGCATAATGTCCTGAAGGCAGTTTCCTTTGAATAATTATGCACCATGCCATGAAATTGTGGGAGCAGAAGTACATCTCATCACTTCCGTAACCTAGGCACTACAAGAAGGTAAGCCGACTCTGAAACAACATTAAACTTCTACCAGATGACAAGACACATTAAGTAAATAGGAAAGCTACCCTCCTACATGCCATGGAGGCACATGGTGGGGGGCGGAGAGAGAGAGAGAGGAGGTATAGCTCCTATTTATTCATGATTAGAGGGTGATGACCACCCCAGTACCCATTGGATAAGAATCTGGGTGCGCCTCGGACATGGTCTGGACATAGAGGCTAGAAGAAAAATCCATTACCCCTGCCAGGGAACAAGCGCCAGCTTATAATTTGTTAATGAAAATTGAATGGTAGGCCTGTTTTCAATTATGAGTAAGTAGTACTTGTAATAATTTTTGAATTTCTAATAAACTATCCTTGTGACTTCTGAGTTGATAACAAAGGGTGAATGTGGCTCTCAGTCTTAAAAAAGTTGAGAACCGCTGAACTAATATATCCTCTTTTTATGTGCATTGTTGTGGCAACCAAATCATAGTGGCATATCTACTACATCTGATATAGTGAAATGCCTTTATCATACTTCCAGTAGAAGTTTTTTCTTTTTTCTTTCATTTAGGTGGAGGCTCAGCTGCAGTGCCTGATGAGTGAAAACAGTATTGACTACATGGCTAAGTTTGCTGACCTAGCTGCCCAAATTGCTTCATCTGATACGTCCAACAAAAAGTGACCAGCCTCTTTGCTTGCTGTTTTGTATCATAATGTGTACATACGTATATACTCGAGATAATAACTCACC